ACACATATATATATAATTTATTCATAAAAAATACATTAAAAAAAATACAAAAATAATAATTTAATATATTATTTTTACTGATATGTGTGTACATTTGATATGGAGGGCAGACAACAACCCTATCGGTGACAACTAGTAAACAAGTGTACATGTTCTTCCGCCACACAAAGTTAAAATTAGACTCATGTGTGATGAAAGGAATACATGGGACTGGCTCCAACCGGCACACACACCTATAAATTCAGGTTTGACAGACCGGTTCCACCATACTCAGGTGGAAAACGCACTGGATTAAACCCTGGATGAAAATAATTATTTTTCTTTCTGTCAGTACAATTTGGACTAACAATTTTATATTACCAGAAAGTTGGTGAGCACACTGTATTTTATTATATTTCAAACGATTTTGTATGCTGATTTCTATGTTTCTGGGTACCCAGAGCTTAAGTAATGAAAGATACACTGTAATTTATTGTGTTTCATACAATATTGTATGCTGATTTTTGTGTTTCTGGGTATTCACAGCTAAAGTTATGAGAAATATTGATTTTACAGTCATGCTTTATCTATAATCACCAAGTCACACAATTAGCATTGATCCTAAATGTTACTCTGTAGTGTTGCGCTGCTGGAATGCTGCTTTGGGACACTGAGTCACAATTTTCTATGGCCAAAGGTGTTGAAGCATTTAAAACAAAAGACAAGAGAGTTATTCCTTTGGAAGAAACTTGATCTAGAATCAGCAGTCTGCTGAGGTAAATCGAAAACTATATTAAAATAAACATATAAATTCTTGAATCCAAATTAAAATGATTCGTAACCAGTTTTGGCCTGCTTCTTATTCTCTCTCAGGTGGGAAAACAAGAAGCTCTAGATAAAAATAAAGTAAAATCCTGCCAGAAGTACAGAAAAAAATGGTTGGAATCAAACCTACTGACCTGCCACCAACTGCTGCTGTCAAGTTTTTTGGTGCTGGTACGGCAGCATGTTTTGCTGATCTGGTTACTTTCCCCCTGGACACAGCAAAAGTGAGACTTCAGGTGAGGACTTATTAAAATATATATCATTTTAATAATAATAATAATAATAATATGTAAGCTATATATGCAAAAAGTTTATCATAAAGAACATAATTTTTGAGCCCATTAAGAGTTGTTTGAATTGTGTTTGCATTGACTTTATGTGCCTGAAACAATCAAAAACAACACAAAAAGCACATTATGATCATTCATCTGTCTTATTTCAGATCCAGGGAGAATCTACAGCTGCCTCAGGATCAGCTGTGGTGAAATATCGTGGAGTATTTGGCACCATTACCACTATGGTGCGTACAGAGGGCGCAAGGAGTCTCTACAATGGCCTGGTGGCAGGACTGCAACGACAAATGAGCTTTGCATCTGTTCGTATCGGTCTTTATGACTCAATGAAGCAATTCTACACCAGAGGATCTGAGAGTGAGTATCAGACTGTTGGTTGGAATAGAGACAGAAATGATAGTGCTGATACTGATGCAAACACTCTGCTTTCTTCTTCTCAGAAGCAAACATTGTGACTCGCCTACTGGCTGGCTGCACTACCGGGGCCATGGCTGTCGCATTTGCACAGCCCACAGATGTCGTAAAAGTGCGTTTCCAGGCTCAAGCACGTCAGTCTGATGGATTAAAGAGATACAACGGCACAATGGATGCATATCGGACTATTGCACGTGATGAGGGTGTTCGGGGGCTTTGGAAGGGTGAGCAAGAGTTCTTAAAAGCATAGTTCTTTTAAGACCCCACCCCCCAAAAAAAAAAAAATTTACACTCCCTCATCTCATTCCAAACGTGTATGTCTTTCTTTTTTCTTCTGAAAATGTTTTTTTCCCCCACACAATGTAAGTCATGGGGGGCCAAACCAATATTGTTAACTAAATCTAAAATGATTAGATTTTGGAAATTGAAATAAATAAAATAAAATAAAATTACATAAAAAAATTTAATGAAAATTTGAAATGTTGCCTTGGCAACTAACTGAAATAAATAAATTTAAGCTTAAGAGGTAATATTAGTAAAACTGAAAGAAAAATAAACTAAAGCTAAATAAAAAGATATATAAAAAACAAAAATAAAAATGACAGAAGCGCATACAATTACTGAAACGTGAACTAAAATTAAAACTGAAAATGTTCAAATAAACCTATTTAAAATATTAATAAATACTAAAATAGCACTGTCCAAAGCAACAGTGGACCCCACTGACTTTCATAGTATGGATAAAAAATACACATACAAAATATCTTCTTGTTAGAAGAAATAAAAGTTTTGGGAAAACATGAGGGTGAGTAAATGATTTTCGGTGCACTATCCCTTTAAATTCAACTTTCACATGTCATTCTAAGTGGAGTTTTTCTGGTGGAGATAAACATGTATTTGTTTCTCTATTTTAGGCTGCATGCCAAACATCACAAGGAACGCAATTGTGAACTGCGCAGAGCTGGTCACTTACGACATCATTAAGGAACTCATATTAAAATATGACCTCATGACAGGTATGAAACCTATGAACACTATGCTTTCATTATGGTTATTTGTATGTTATTGTTGTCTAACACACATGCCCTCATTAGATAACCTACCCTGCCACTTTACCGCTGCATTTGGAGCTGGATTCTGCACCACGATTGTGGCATCTCCAGTAGACGTGGTAAAGACCCGCTTCATGAACTCAACTGCAGGACAGTACAGCAGTGCACTAAACTGTACCCTCACTATGCTGACCAAAGAGGGACCAACGGCTTTCTATAAGGGGTAAGAAAAATATGCTGTGAACTATTATTTATACACAACATGGTAAACACTTATTTTCAGTACCATAAATTTGCCATCTTCATCTTCCCCAACAGCTTCATGCCCTCCTTCCTGCGCTTAGGATCCTGGAACATCGTGATGTTCGTTTCCTACGAGCAAATCAAGAGAGGTCTGACTAGAATTCAGTGCTCATGGGAGTCACCTTTCTGAATGGACATTGTCAGTATCTTCTGATTTTGATTAAACAGAGAGTGCAAATATAAGTCAAGTCCTCTGTTATGACAACAAATGGATTCCCAGGTTAAGTCTTATCACTGAAAAAGGCTGCAACTTTTTAAGGCCAAAGGTCAAGCTCATCAAAAATGAAAGACGAGTTGCCAAAAATCACGAGACGTATGGCTGAGAAAGCAAAATGCACATTTTTGTCTTAGTCTCAACGTCATTGGACACTGAGAGAGGTGGTATTATCAATTGCGAGGATATACTGTATGTCCATTTTTTATGTATATACTTTTAAATATGTCAAGAAAACGGGTCCATAGCATAATGAATGAATACATATTTATACTATAAACTGTACATTGTTGGAAAATAGAGCTTTTTATGATATATCTGTTTCCATTAATGAGTTCTAAATTGTTTTAAGTATCAAATCAGGTACATGCAACTCATTTAGATCACATGTGTTTGACTCCCCAGGACCCTAGAGTCTTTTCATCAGTCAATGATCAAATCAACTGAGAGCCCGACACCCAGAAGGAAGCTTAAAATACAAATGGCTTTCACATGACAAAAGTTCAGAAAGTGGCTTCAAACTGCTTTTTGCGCTCTCTTGATTAGCTATAAAAGACAGACAAACAAAAACTTAGTTAGAACGGAGCTGTGAAGTTTACTTGATGAAAAGAGGAAGGGCATATGCCACATTAACAATAAGACAAATGCAAATCTGTGAAGTGTGAGTGACAAAAAGCACTCACATGTTTCAGGATACCCAGGAAGTGTGATAGAAGTGATGCCTGACGCTCTCTGAAGACAATAATAAGCAGCAGTGTGTAGTTCATGAAGCATGTGTGTCACTGTGTGGTTTTAACCCATGTGTCAGGTGAACACAATTATGTTGTTTTGCCTTGAAGATGTACATTCTCAAGTACAGTTGTTTTATCTAAGTGAAACTTAAACAGCAGCCCTATCTTCTTGATATGGTGATGGGAAGTTTGGTTCAGGTATGTAGTTTAAATGCTTTTGGTTCTTAGGCTATCTGATGAAAAACACAGCTATGAGAGTATTATATCAATATAAATCCATGTGAAGAAGCAAATCCAGGGAATGTGTCTTTAAAAGAGGGAGAACTGAAAGTCCTCTTTATGAATAACATATGTGCAACTACACATAGCCTACTAATTCAGAATGACTCAGCGTTTCAGTCAAATAGGGGAGACTGGGGCTAGTTGTCACACTTACTCCAACGAATATTTCTGAGGGTAGATTTCTGTTTGAAAAAGTCATATCAAAAGTCATACACAATTTGATATGTGTATAAGCACATACCTCAAAGTCTTGGCATGTTGTCATTACATGTTGTCACAATAGGAACTTGCCATTCAGATCATTTTAAACAGTAAAGAATTCTAAAACACAGAGCAATATAGGAAACACCAAAAATCTATTTATCGAATGCTTAACTGGTTTGATCAAGAGAAAATACACAATTGTGTAATAGTATTTTGACTCGAAACTTCATATTTAATTTTGCACCAGTGTGTGAACGTTTAACAGCATTTACCGTTTTTTTAAACATTATTTCTAGTTCAATCACCTAAACCAAAAAACAATTTAAGTTAAACTTTGGAAAACGGGTTTTATCAGTGAAAACAACAGAGGCGTTAATTTATGCGCTGAATGACGCGTCACGCGTGTCACGTGACTCCCTCGAATGCGTAAAGAGGGTCGCCGCAGCGTTCAGAACAGAACAGAGCACCTGCGGACTGTAACCGGCTGCTTTCTGAGGAAGTTCTTTTTCCCTACTATAAACACTTTTATTCGTAGACACAATACATTTTTGTTTAAGGTGAGTATTGTGACTTTACATACTGCGAATAGACTTTCTCCGTTACTTGCGAATGTGTTTTCTTTGATTATTTCAAGTGATGCTGATATGCATGTAACACGGAAATATTCTTGTCTTTCAGACTTTGGAGTATGTTTTTGATTTGTACGGGTTCTAATCGTTTCTCTATGGAAGAACGCGGCAACAAAATTCAAGTTGAAAGTCATTTCAACCAGAGAGATACTTTCAGAGAACCTTGAAGTTCTCATCCAAACCGGTTGGTAAAAAGTTTTCCAAAAGCGTTTATTCATTTGTTTTAATAAATAAGGTTAATACAGTTGATGTAATATTATGCCAGTATTACATAATCTCGCGTTTTGTGTGTATCCGCACTTCCTTTATTGAAGCTCCTTTGTGAGGTAGAAAGTCAACAAAGCCGCCCCAGATGTAAACAGGATGATGACGTCAGCATATAGATTAGCATGTTAGAGAGAACATGATGTTCCTTTTTTGTCTGTTGATTGTCAGAGAGCCTTTACACCTAAATTAAGCACATCCATTGGCCCACCCCAAATGGCTTAAATTTGCACAATAAAACAGGTTTAAGGTTTTAAATGCATATCATAAACTTCTAAAAGAAAGTAATCCATTATGTGTCTTCCTAAATCCAGGTTAGGGTATAGTTCACCTATCTTGTGTTCACTTCATTGGTTTTCAACGCATTCCGTTTCACCTTTACGCTCCTGTGATTCCGACTGCAAATAAACATGGTTGGATTCAGAGCTGGTGATGTGCCTCCTACAGCCACTGTGAAGTTTATTGGTGCAGGAACTGCAGCCTGCATTGCAGACCTCTTCACATTTCCACTGGACACTGCAAAAGTTAGACTTCAGGTGAGTCTTTGTTGTGTGGAATTGGAGTACTTCGTTTAAAAGACAGTGTTTTTTTTTTGTTGTTTTTTTTTGCTCGAGTGACAGCTGAGCCAGCGGTTGAGTCTGGAAACAACAGACGCACGTGACTACTTGACCCAGATCAACTCGCAGCAACAATAACAAACTAACCTTTCATTTCAGGTGGAATGTTTAAAGTCACACTCATACTGACATCAGCTTTATCTATTTCTCTTGACTCTCTTTACACTAGCAACGTAAGCAGGTCCAGGCCTTGATGATTGTCCTTGCTGACCCAGGATCACTATGGACCCTTTTAAGCTGAAGATGCTGCTTCCCTCCGCTGTGATTCTGTAAAGTTTCTCCATCCACCTTTTGTTCTGTACAGATTCAGGGGGAGACCAAAAGTCCCGCGAACACAGGCCATGGTCCGGTGAAATATCGTGGAGTGTTTGGCACGATCAGCACCATGGTGCGTGTTGAGGGGCCGCGCAGTCTCTACAGCGGGCTGGTTGCAGGACTGCAGCGTCAGATGAGCTTTGCCTCTGTACGCATTGGCCTCTACGATTCCGTCAAGCAGTTCTACACCAAAGGCTCAGATCGTAAGTTGTCAAACGCTTGTATGCAGGAATGATTGGAAACTATTTATGTAAGACCTCTCATATTAACACCATTCAATGCATTGTTTTCCTTAGATGTTGGGATTGGCAGTCGGCTGATGGCTGGCTGTACGACTGGAGCCATGGCAGTGGCTTTGGCCCAACCCACCGATGTGGTGAAGGTACGATTTCAGGCTCAGATCAGCGCCGGGGCCAGTAAACGTTACCATGGTACTATGGATGCATATCGGACCATTGCAAAGGAAGAGGGGTTTCGTGGTTTGTGGAAAGGTGAGCCTGGGCCAACTTCGGTCTATAATAGTAATAATAATATTTAATGAAATCCATTGTAATTATTTAATTCTTATATAATAATAATAAATTAATAAACTATTTATTTAGTTTATATTCTAAATTAAAAGGTTTATTTATTGTATTAGTATTATTAGAATTTACTTTATTATAAAATATATTATTAATTTATTATATTAATAACAATTCCTATTTATTTAAATTTATTTTTAATTAGTTTATATTAAACCAAATATTTTAATATAATAATAATAATTATTATTATTATTATTATTATTAT